TAGAAAACACATTTGAACTTGGTCACATTTCATTCTGCAAGTCCACTGCTGCAGGCAAAGCCATGCTGCAATRRCATGCTACAAGGCAATGCACACTTGTTTTTACATCGTAAAAACCCACGTCTAGTTTTTATTATTTTTTTAATTGAGTAGTTTCACATCAGCTGTGGTCTGTAACAACACTAGTTTACAGTCTGCTGCTTAGCATCGTCTGCTAAATGACAACAAAACTTGGGAGAAAACGGCAAYGTCAACTTTCTGATTTCTTTAAATATGACTGAGAGAAAAATAATACAAGTGTGTTGTAGTGGAAACAGGTGATAAAACAGATGGAATACTTGTCAAGAGAAAAACTGCATGAATCAAACTCRCACAAGATGCTAACTATGACTATCCTGACATGCTAGCTTCTCTCAGTAGCTCCATGAAAAGCAAAYAACAGGTAGCAGCAGGTTGGAGACAACTACTGTCATCGTCCTAAAATAATTTACCAATTTTCATACCAGTCTTTTAAGAATACTGACTTCCTGCCAACTGTGATTGTCCTATTACAGGATCTGCAACCTTTACAATCAAAAGAGCCATTTCTGCTCCTGGTCGCACTAATCAAAGTGTCCATAGCCAAAAAACAAGCTACAACTGGGATTATCAATTGGTGGTCCATGGGCCTTTTCGAGGCCTTTTGGGGAACATTTACGGTCAGTGGAGGTGACATTATAAAACTAAAGGAATATTGTTATTATTATTAAACTATTATTATAAACATCAGGACAAATAAAAAGAACATTTTCATGTAAACAAGAAAAATACTGTATAAAGTTTATACTGCATTTCATAAAAACGAGTACATCTGAAATATTCAGGCATGTTTATTTTCTAATTCTTATTATTATAGTCTTCACATTATTTAAAGGTAATTCTGGTGGATTTGAAAGAGAGAAAGAAATTGGAATCTTTAAGTAAACAACAGGCTAGCATGAGCTAACATGTTACTTTTACATAACTTTTTGTATTTGTAGTATTTTTCACATGTTTGTATACAAACTGATTTCTGTTGTGGGTATAACCCCCCACCCCCACCCAAAAAAAATGAAAAATAAAATAAAAATTCTGTTACGTTTGGTCACATTTTCAAAGAGCCACTGCAGAGGGACCAAAGAGACACATGTGGCCCCAGAGCCACAGGTTGCAGACCCCTGTCCTATTTTTATTATTATAGAAATTACGTTGAAATATCATCTTCCAAAAGTGAAGAATTTGTTTGTGAAAGTTTGATCATTTAACTGGAGTCTTACCCACCTCAAACAACTCACTTCCTCCCAGCTGCTTGAATTAAAGCAGGGATTTGAAAAGAGCCTTTTAGTTCCAGGACCCTGAGGTCTGACCGGTCTCACTGCGCCCCCTACAGGCCTGCCTCATGCAGCTGACCCAGTTCAGCCAGCAGGAAGTCATGACACTGAATCCAGTTTCTATGGTCTTAAACCTGTGGTCAGCTGATTGTAATAAAGCCTGTTTGTGATAAAACGCTGACTCAGATGTTTAGCTCTTCTTACAATCCACAGTGTAAAACGTCAAATTCTTGTCACTTTTTAACAGATCTTAAGTTGTTTGATCAGGTGTGTTTTTATTGTTTTAATAAAGTTCTTCATTCGTTCCAATCCACTGAGACCAAATAAGTTGTTTCATTAGGTGAACTGCTGAGACCAATCACAGATCAGTGCTTCGAAACTGCTGAGTCAGCAGCCCTCGTAGTACTAACTTTATTCCATTACTGAAGTATTACTGAAGTATTACTGAAGTNGTCAGTGAGTTTACTACTTTCTTTTACAACTTTGTTGATTTCACTACTTCTACTTCCTGTTGTCTTCTTCGTCATCTTTTTCACCAGTAGAAACAGCCGGCTGTTGATCACGTGACTCCCGTGATTCAAAAAAAAGTGTTTCCATTGCAGTTTTGCGAAAAACACCAATTTCCATTCGGCCGAAAAACCACCTCATCCTAGCGCAAAAACATTTTGTTGAAAAAAGGAAGTTTTTTCGAAAATGATGTGTTTCCATTGAGCAAATTTATTTTCGAAATTCTAATTTGCGCATTTTCATGGTGAATGGAAACGCAGCTAGTCACAGAGAATGGAGTATGAAGACATTTTTGAAAATCCTCCTAGGCTAGGCTAATTGCGAGCCAAATAAATGCTAATGTTCTATCATTTTCCATGTTTAAACAACAATGCTTTCTCAAAAACATATGGATATGAAACAGCACTACATTGGCTGATATTAAACCTCATCATTTACATGTACAGTAGTCCGTCTATGCTCCACACAAATATATATTTGGGCAGTAGGACAGGTATTSTTTGGTTGAGAAAATGACAACAAACTTAACTAAACTAACTAGAGATAAACAATATATCACTCGAGAAATGTCATGGTAATGTAGGTGTGTGCAACAGTCACACTGCAGGTCGTGCAGTGTAGGAGGTAAACTACATCAACATGATACTTACRTWGGGACTAAACCASTRAACTGTGGGGCATGCCTCCCCTAGAGGGCACCAGAGGTCGTGAGGTGAAGAAAGAAAGCTATCATCCGTAAAGTGGCTTGCACAAATAAAAAAACTTTTTTTCCTGTCGTAGGGCTACTTCCAAAAATGAAGTCAAACTATTTTTAAGAACCATGTCATCCATGGGGAGCTCTCATTGGCACCTGAAAATACATTTCCTCAAAGACGTTTTTGTCCTGAGGCAGCCAGGCAGGGCAGCAAAAATGAAAAACACCAGGTGTTTGCTAGCTGTTGCTGCTGATAGCCTGTAGGAGTCACAGAGGACGTGTGCTCTGTAATGAGGAGGCTCAGCTTGGAGACACAGCCCAGAGGAGGAGCTGATCCTAAAAGGAGGTTCTAGTCCCAACTGGTGGTTTTTGCTCCCCTGCCTGCTGCCTCAGGACACTACAGAATTTCTCAAACATGCATGAATGAGTCAAAGTAAGACTCTGGGCCTGTTTTTGATGAGAGGATAACATTATAACATGATATAAAGCTAAAAAGAAAAGTTGATTTTACATGATGCTGCCCCTTTAACCTCTTGAGCCCCATGCCCCCCGGTACCGGGGACAACACAGTTTTTTTTTGTTTTCTATTTCTTTTAACTTCTTTTAACTTACATTCTTTACATCTTATTTACATTATATCGCCCCATTAAACAAGGGGTACCAACAATTTTGTCCACTGTGTGCGGTGGCACAGTTGCTTGTTTGCTCTCTGAGGTGGG